GCAACATAAATCAAGTACAACTACAACTTGGAGTACAAACATAGGCGTGCACTGGAATTTTTCATTGAGGGGGCACTAAGCTAAATTTTTGAAAATTATAAAAAAATATATGTATCAAATTTTGAGTTAAGTTATGCAAATCTCATTAAAGTAAATTTTATATGAGAAAATGAAAAATTTTAAATCTGTCGAATAGTTTCTGAGAAACCAAGTTTTAAAAATGTTCGTTATTTAAATTTGATATCTCGATAACTATTCCACTGATTTATTTCAAATTTTGTATTTTATCATTTCAAATTATATAAAAATCTATACTTAGCAATTGAAAAATTTTAGACTGTTATTAAATGAAATAATGAAAGATAACTGAAAATTATTCTTTATATGGAATTATCTTCGGTTAAATGAATTTCATAATTCTGCGCAAAAAATTTTCGATCTGCTTTAAAAATAAGGATATGAAAAACGGGAGATATGCAAAACGGGAAATTTACATTAATAGGTCCAGAATTTTTATTGCTCTCCTGCCAAAAATTATTGATATCAGAGTACGGCTACCCCCATATTTCGATACTCAAATATCCAAAGTGGCACATTCTGAACTATTGATTAATGAAACTTAGCTTATACTTCATGATTTAATTAAAACTTTAATAAATATTTGATTTTCGAATTATAACAAAGATGCTTAAAGTTTCAATTTACAATTATTAAAGTTAAAAGTCTAATTTTAAAAATATAAAATAATTAAATACAAAAATCTGGAGCTGAGCATAAAACTATGCATATACAATCAAAACTAATTTACTAAATAAATCAATTTGTTGCACACTATGCATAAATATTACAAACAAATAAAACATATTTGCTTACCTCCAAATGAATACATACAATTGAAGTGTTTAGTATTTAACAAGATGTCACATTTTATTTAAATGAAGATAAATATATAAAATAATGAAATGTGACTAAAAACTATTGCAAATAAATTGTAAAACGTATGATAAAAAATGAATAGTTTCAGTTAAAATACTCAATAAAATCAAATTAGAAAAAAAACTTCTTTAAAAAAGAGAAGAAAAATTTAACTTAAGTTTTAAATTGAAAATGTTAAATTTCACATTGAAAAGCTGAAGGAAAATTTAAATAAAGTAGCACTTTTTTAATGACTGATCCATTTTAATGACTCTAGGCAAAATGGCCGAAAGAAAGGCCAACGGAACTTTTTTATAACCCTAAAAGATTTATATATCAGTAGTCCTAAAAATTCTAGATAATTCTTTCTTTGGGGGCAATTTATGACAGCAAGTATTGGATATCAATATTTTAACATTTTATAGATGGAGGAAAAAGAAGAGGCCAAAACAATAGATCAGACAGTAGCAAATTATAGAAGTAAATTAGGCATTATTTTGATTCCCTTATCCATTCTGTGACGAACTTTCGAAAGGGAAGGAAACTACTTATTGATGTCGGTAATGAGGGGGTATAGCTCGTTCACCAGGAGTTGGCACTTGGCTCCTCCTTCATCACGTGGTNTTTTGATTCCCTTTTCCATTCTGTGACGAACTTTCGAAAGGGAAGGAAACTGCTTATTGATGTCGGTAATGAGGGGGTACATTTTTCAGCGCAATTCAGGACGACCGCTTTATTTTGTTTTGTGGAAGATACCGTTTTGTTGCTCCTTTGGGAGGAAGCCAGCAATTTTTATTTTGCACCCAATGGGATATTTAAACTATTGTTTTAAAACTAAATAGAAAAAACCCTTAATAATAAACGAAAAAACAAAAATTCCAGCATGTAATGGGGTGTTTGAACGTCTTAAACCCGTCCTTTACCTACTTACCCGTTGCCGCAATCAGGAAAACATTGTCTCATCATCATAAATTTGTAGGTAGGTACTTTCTTTATTTAAGACATACTAAAATTGCACAATGGGTTATTGGATAAGGTCTGGGAAACATCCCTGAGAATGATCCGAAGACAAGCCATCGCAATGTCGATCCTCTGAAGAGGGGATGGCTCCCCTGGTTTGGAAGCCCGACTACCTGCGCGTGAAGTTGAGCTCTTTAAGGTAGAACAGTTTAACGAGGAAAGATGCTACGCATCCTCGGTCCCTACGCAAGCTGATCAAAGTGATCTCCCACCTGCTTGCTGACCAGTGATGCTTGACTTCAGTGGTTCACTGGGAATCGTGTCTTTACAACCAGTCCTCTGCGAGACCATCATAAATTTAATCGCTTAGATTATTGCCTTAATTATTGAAACAGTTTTTTTTTTAATTTTATGACATTGCTTTGTATAATTTAACATTGCTAGAAATGAACTTACAACAGTTTTTTTCCTAAAGTATTTTTTTCTAAATTGGGAGTGATATTTAAATTTTTATTAAATGATATTTCAAACCGAAGAACACTTAGATAAAAATAAATAGATTTAAAAGAATTGCTTCAATTTTTAAAGCTTTAAGAAAAAGAGATTTTTACTTCATTTATTTTTTTTTAAAAAGTCTTTAAATTTTTCAATGGTTGAGAATAAAAATTTTGAAAGTTAATTAGAGCTGCCTGGGCCCCTCCCCCATGCACATGTCTTTATATCGAAATGGGATGCTGAAATAATGTCATTTTTCTACGTTTAGAGCACCGTGGTAGCATAGTAATTAAACAATCGGACTCTGATCTGGATGGACCTGTGTTCGATCCTCGACTCTGCTAAGATCTACCGAATACATGCGATTTGTGGAATCGAAAGTCCTGTTGTCAGTCGCTGATCAGTACCATGGATACATAGATTTGGAGAAAATTTCTTTCCTATCCAGATCTATGTTTAAATTGAGAAAGTGGCATCACAAATGAGATTCCTTATGCAGAGGATCAAAATTATGATGTCATGTCTACAGAGCATCCTCAAGGATGTTTCCCAGACAGTCGCCAATAGCCCATTTTGCAGTTTTAGTGCGACGAAAATGTTGTACCTACCTGACTTCTACACCTAGCTCGAGCTAGGATAAAAGTCAGGGTGAACGATCGTTCGTTGGGAGCGAGTTTAGAGCTCGGCAATTCGTTCACGCCTACGTAGAGGAGCATCCTCGCAAAATGCGGTTTGTGGCTTAACTACCACGACAAATATTAAATACCAAATTACTAGTATATAAGACTTGTTAACTTGATTCTATCACGAGGTTTACTCAGTCACGCCAACATCTTTTATCCATTTAGAATCATCATACTACTTACTACCTTAAGGAACTACCTCAAGGACTCTCATCACACGATGAAGGGGAAAAGGGCCGTTCCGGCCTCAGGCACCCCAAATCACCTAACAGACTAGACTAGACTATCACGAGGTACCTTTTGATAGATAAAGGTTAACATAGTCGATTCATAATTATACCCTCATTGGTGACCTCCGGACGTGATATAAACCTGCAAACATTGATGGATGGTCTACATTAAACAATTGATTTGCTTAAAAATATACTGCTCTAAGAAAAAAAAATCCGGTGAAGTAATAAGTCTCCCGGTCAATAAAACAAAAATGAAGAAAATGAGCAAAATGTTATAAACAATAAACAAAAAAACAAAAAAAAGATGGTGAGAAAATTTATATAAATGAATAAACAGCATGAATCAACTAGTGGTATTCGTTCATCGAATTCTATCACAGACAAAATTCTGGAAGGGGAGTAATGTGGCGTAACTACCACTACAAATATTAAATACCAAATCACTAGTTGTTGTTGTAGTTCATTTACGTCGCACTAGAGCTGCACAGAGGGCTATTGGCGGCAGTCTGGGAAGCATCCCTGAGGATAATCCGAAGATATGCCATCCCAATTTTGATCCTCTGCAGAGGGGATGACACCCTCGCTTCAGTAGCCCGACGACCTGCACGCGAAGTCTAGTACTTTACGTTAGAACAGCTTAACGGACCCATACGGTAGGACCCATACCGCACACCCTCGGTCCCTACGCAGACTGATCCAAGTGGTCACCCACTCGCACACTGGCTGCGGTGATCTGCTTGACTTCGGTGATCTGCTGGGAACCGTGTCTTAACGATCAGTCCACTGCGGGACCCAAATCACTAGTAAATAAGACATGTTATCTTGATTCTATCACGAGGTACCTTTTGATAGATGATGGCTGACATGACCCCTCAGGTTCGCATAATTCTAATCACCGTTAGGGGCGAATGAGAACTTAATTGGCGATCGAAATGGGCTGCAGGTGGCGTAGAGCAGAACTCTTTTCCTATGGCAACACTTCACATGCTTTCCCCATTAGCGTGTGGAAAGTCATAGAGGAAGGAAGTACGTTAGTTTCTCTCTTGATTTTCATATAGATTAAAATCTTTTAAGTTGGAAAACTATATGGAACTGAAAACTACATTAAACATAGTTCTAAAGAAAAGTATCATGGAAATTTTTAAAAATATTTTTATTAAGAGAAAAGGAAAAATATTAAGAAAAGGGAAAATATCGTAGTACATTCCTATATAACTGAAAAGAGGAGGAGAGGGAAGGGAGGAGGGCTAAAGGCATGAAACCGGTCTCTCCCCAGATGGCGTATTCGAGTGTTGCGATCGCGAATAGAAGAAATTGCTGCATGGAAATGAATGTCGCAGAAGAAAATGGAGAACTTGATTGATAAGCTTTTCCAAGAGTAATATTTTTCTCATCAATCGGGCTCTCATTACGGTGATCGGAAATGTGTGAAATGTATTTAGCGAGAATGCCCCTGTAGGTGGGAAATTAAAAACTCACCAATCAGGTTCCCGTTTGCATACAATTAAGAAGGTCCAGTAAAGATGGTCCTCCAGTTTTCATCTCTGTGGTCGGTGATCAGATATGCGTAAAATGTCAGCAGTGAGATTTAGCCACACTTCAGAAAAGTTTCTTAACCGCAACCTCATGCCGCAACCGTATGCGTTTGAAAAATTAGCGTGACGTCACGGTCTTTGTTTACAATCAATTGGGTGGCGAGCACTGTAATGTAAGTCTATGGGATTTTTATGTCATTTTGTAAAAAATAAGCTAATTTTATATTTTCTTTAAATTTTTGAAGAATTAACGGTCGATTTTCGTGTAAAATAGAGTTATAATAAACTGTATACTAAGTTTTGGCTAAATTGTGTCATTCTTTGTATGAAAAAAGTTTAGATTTTTGTGGGTGGTGAGTAAGTTCTGTTTCTCTTTACAGTTGTTGTTTATTATGATGTATACTATAAATAATAGTTAAATTTTTGTCTAAATCCTAATAAATTAGATTAACTGTGATGCCTTCTTCATAAATAGGTCAGAATAATTATGAAATTTTTTTTACAAAGTGATGAAATAGCTTTGTTTTATTATTTTTAACTTCTGGGTGGCCGAGCTGAAACTTAAATATTTTGCTGACATTCTTAGAAATTCACGTTATTATTTTAATCTTACATCTAGTAAAAATAGAATTAATTAATTTTTTTATATGCCCCAAACTTCTTAAAATATTCTAGCGATGTTTTGATAATATTCGTGTAAAAAAAGAATTAGTGTTCTGTGGGTGAGTGTGTCTTCTCCTTAAATTTTTTTTTTTTGTTTTGCATCAAATTGGAAATAATTATTGATGTTTTACTTAAGATATTAATTAAGTATAATGCTTGTATAATAGATTGGTCAAAATAATGATAAAAATTTGCTTTAGTGTGTGCCAGGGTTTAAGCCGAGTCTAAAAATTCATTAGCAAAAAAGCTAAAATCTGAAAAAAAGTTTTAGCAAAATGCTAAAATGCCATTAGGCTTATAAAATTACTCTATATCAAATAAGTACTGTAAGTTATCTGACAAAGAATAGCTTAATGTACAAGAATATCAAAAAGAATACCTATAACAAAAAAAAAAAAAAACACATTTATTATTTATCAAAACTTTTTGGTTAATAATTAACAATCTTCCTTTCTTTCATGTTTGCCCATTTTACAAATGCTTCTTGAAAGTTAAATGCACTTTCAGGGCCCTCAATATTAATCATTAACAAATTGTTTACATGGTTGATTAACAACCTGTTTCGAATATTAGTTTTAATCAAATTAAGGCAGCTAAAGCCCCTTTCACAGTCAACAGTGTGCATTGGTATTGTTGCACAATACTCTATAACAGAAGTTATTAATGGGTACTGTTCAGACACATCATTGGTATATAAAAATATTAAATTTTCTCTA